GAACCCACATGGTGGCTACGAACAGTCCTTAACTCCAGTTCCAGGGGAATCCAAAGCCCTCGTCTGACCTCTTCTGTTTTTTAAAAATAAAGCCATCTGACTACCCAGAAACACTCATGCAGTTGGAGAGGCCATGAGTTATTGTTCCAGTTGGCCATTCTCATTTTTGAATCATCTTAGCTCAGGCACCAGGCATCACTGAAGGGGACATTTGATGGTTCCAGCTCCCAAGCACTGAGCCCACATTTCATCTGAGATACTATGGAGTAAAGAGAAGCCATCTCCATGATGCCAGATCCAAATCCCTGACCCACAGAATCTGGGAGTGTCATATGGTAGTTTTAAGATGCTAAATTTTGGGGTAATTTGTTAAATAGCAATAGTAACCAGAATACTGTCTAACAGCCTAACCCTGCCTCCATTCTCTATTTTTCAAAAGTATATATTACAAATTTCCATTCCTTTTTGATCCACTGAGATACAGTAAGGTCCCTTCAGTAGTTGCTTATCAAATTATGTCCAGTCCCAAGACCAAAATCAGAAGTGCTAATTAAAAGGAACATATGTAGAATTTATGGGCCTCAGGTCACAGTTGTATACATTTGTCTAGAAACTGCTACATGTGTTCAAATAATTGATATTGTCATTGCCTGGGACAGTGTTTGAATTTTAATTTATGAGTCTTATAATTATCCATGCTAATTAATAGTCAGCTGTACAGCCACACAGGCCAGAAGAGAATTTAAGCAGTAACCATGGTTATTGAGACAAATCTAGTTTAATAAAGTATAGCTAGTGCTAATGAAGATGGAAAAGCCCAAAACATACTTTTTTTTTTTTTTTTTTTTTTGAAATAGGGTCTCACTATGCAGCATTGGTTGGCCTGGAACTCACTATGTAAACCAAGCTGGCTTCAAACTCAGAGATCTTCCTGGGACTTCCTTCTTGAGTGCAGGTATTCAAGGCAGGTGCCACCACTCCTGGCCTCAAAGGTATAGTCCAGGCTGGCCTCAGACTCATGATCCTCCTGCCTCCACCTCTTTAGTACTTTCAACAGGTGTGCAAAATATCATTCCAACACTTTAATAAGGGATGCAAATCAGTATTTATATTAGTTGCTTATATAATCTTTTTTTTTTTTTTAAATCTTTTTGAGACAGGGTCTCTCTCTAGCCCCAGCTGGCCTGGAACTCACTATGTAGACCAGGCTGGCCTCAAACTCACAGAGATCTGCCTACCTCTGCCTCCTGAGTGCTGGGTTTAAAGGCATGTGTCACCACACCAGGCTTTATATAATCTTTTAAAAAAAGTTTTATTTATTTTTTATGTGCATGGGTGTTTTGCTGCATATATGTCAGTGCCCCACATGCATGTCTGGTGCCTGCAGAGGGCCAGAAGAGGGCATTGGATCCCCTGAAACTGGAGTTATAGGTATTTTTAGCTGGCATGTGGGTGTTGGGAACAGGACCTGGTTCCTCTGCAAGAGCAGCCATTGATCTTAACTGCTGAGCCATTGCTCCAGCCCCTCATTTGTTTCTTTTTAAAAATTTATCAAGATCTCTACTCTGTTAGGGCCCTTATGGACCCCTAGCTTTCCCAGACTTGCCTTGATTAATGCATGTCTCAACTCTCAGCAGAGGAAGCTTCCTTATACAGCAGATGGTGATTAATACAGAGAACCACAAGTCACCAGTGTGTAGAGAATAAGAAGCTGCATGCAGACTCCTTATCCCTGAATAGGACACCTGTATCAAACTTCTACTTCCAAAGACTCAGGGATCATTGGGAAAGAGGGGATGGAAATGTTGTAAGAGGCAGAAGAGGTGGATGACCACAAGGAAACAGAATTTTCCAGTTACTCATATGAACCCACAGCAACAGTGACAGCGTGCACAAGTACCACATAAACTCAAGCCAGATAAAATCCCAGCATAGACATGGGGAAGTAGGTAAGAAACCCCAACGCTACCCTGAGGAACTACTGGCAACTGATGACTGCCGGGAAGGGGAGATTCAGTCACATTTAAGGGTGAGACTCTTAGTAGGTTGACCAGGCTCCAGCGAATGAACTCATACTGAAGGGCATTTGGAGACACAAACTTGACTCTATAGGCATATTTGTGTATATATATATATATTTAGAGTACAGGAAATTTGGTGTGAGGGTTGTTAGTAGGGGGGTATAGATATGGGAGGGGATACAAATATGATCAAAATATATGGTATTAAATTTGCAAAAATTCAATTACAAAAAGGAAAAAATGACAAAATGCAGCAAACATTAAAAAGCACTTATGCATTCACAGTAACCTCTTTCAAATTATGAAACTTAAAAACAAAACAAGGGGCTGGAGAGATGACTTAAGAGCACTAACTGTTCTTGCAGAGGACCCAGGTGCAAATCCCATCCACATGGCAGAAAACAACCGTCTGTAACTCCAGTTCCAGGGGATCTGATGCCCTCATCTAACCTCCGTGTGCACTGCACAATGTGGGTGTACTTACATACATGCAGGCAATACATTCATACATGTAAAAAAATAATTAAAAAAATAAAAACA